AACATCAATACCATAATTTTATTAAACTCTTTAATTAAAACTATATTCTAAACCTCTCCTATTATTAAGTTTTAAAACCAATCATTTTTAAACATTTTAACATTTTAATCTCTTATCAACTCTTAAACCATTGCAATACTACCATCTCATCTTATGTACCTTGCAAAATCTTTTTTTTTTTTAAAAAATTATACTTTATCCATTATCCATAAAAAATTCCTTTTTTCCATTTAATTTCAAAACGTTGTAGCTTTTCTCCACCTTTTCCCTTTCTTTCTTTTCCCAACAAACCTTTCTACCCTCCCTTCTTCTAGCCTCTGCCTTACCGGCTTCCCTTCTCTGTCGCATTTCTTTTCCCCTTTGTTTACAATCATCATATTGGTTTTGCACTTTATTTTTCCCTTTCTTAAATGTTTTTTTAGATCTTAAGTCCTTAAATCCTTTAGTTTTCTTCTTTTCTCTTCTTTTCTTTTCTTTCTCTCTTCCTTTTTTCTGGATCAAATTCTGAGATTCATTAAAGATGGCTCCTTCCTTTCTTTCTTGTTCCTCTGCTGTCTTCATCTGTTGTAATTTTTGTTGATAATTAGTAAGCGCCATTTCTAAGAAAAGGAAAGCTTCTTCCACACCATTTCTTAGTTCCTCAACAGAAAGAGCCATTATAAATCTTTTCTTTTCTTTTCTCCTTCTTTCTTCTTACAACAACCAGAATATTCAAAAGAAAATAAAAAAGATAAAACAGTCCCAAAGTTATCAATCAGTCCAAACCAAGGCAGAGTTCTCACTTTCTCCTTCTGGGGTAATATCAATCAAAGAGAAAGAAAGTCCAAATCTGTTTAAAGTCTTGTTACAATATATTCTAGTCTTCAAATCCTTAAGGCATCTGCTCCAACAAATCTTAGCATACAAATATTTTCTTTTTAATCCTCTCTCTTCCCACTCATCGCTTAAAACCAATTTCCACCTAAAAAAATAGGTTTCTTAATATCCAGTTATTTATTCCGTAGGAAAAGAGGGAAAGCTATCCTTTCAGCACCTTCAAGCAGCCGCTTTTTTCCTCTTCTGGCAGGTATTATTCAGAAAGTCATACTTTTCAGGAATTTTATTAAATATGTCTTAGAGTCCTAGGAGCCAAGAAAAACTTTCTCCTCTCAATCACTTTCTCCACTTCCTCCTGCGCATTCTTACCCGGCTGCCAGCTTCTTTGTGGCGGCCATTACGGACCGCCGCTGCACCGTCCTGGGAAAAGGGGGTTCTGCCGGCCAGGGAGGGGGTCTGCAGCACCCCCAAACCCTTCTCCGGATCCCCCCTACCTTCAGCTGCCCCTGCAGGGCAGCCTAGCTCCGTACCCGGCTGGGTCGGAGCCCCAAAAACGGCTAGCGCGGCAGGGATCGCGCAGCTTCGCAAATCCCTGCCGCTCGCGAAGCCGACAAACCGGAAGTTTGTCGAATTTTATTTCTACTTTCTAAGATATTAACTATCCCATTTAAACCTGAAAATTGTAAATTGTAAATATGGTGGTTTGACATTGAAATGAGACACAGGGAACTGTCTCTGAGAAAAATGCCAACCCTGAGAGAACTCAGGTAGCAGTATTTATTGAGAAAAAACACAAGCAAAATACAGTCTGCATATTCAGAAAACAATGACCTCAACAGGAGATTACTTCACCAGCATGAGAACACACAATCTTGGAAAGTCCCAGATGTTACCTTGCTAGGATGAGATCATACAGCCACGGAAAGTCTCATGGGAAAGTTTGGAAAGTCCCATGAGAAAGCACAACTGTGTATCTTGTACCTTGAACTTTCACCCATTTTCCTATTCCTTCTAAACTGGCAGAATCAAAACAGAATGAGGCACTCTGAGCAAAGATACTCCTACCCCCACCAAGAATGCCCACATCT